CAGGACAACCGGAAGACTTACCGCTTGAAGCAGCAAGAGCTATACAGTGGCACCCGTGTTCGTCACGCCTCCCCTGCAGAGATTCGTCGTCAAAAGTCCCAACATGATTTGCTGCAAGGGGCTTTGACCTCGGAAGCCTCGTCTGTACAATGGTTGCTGCAGCACAAATTCATTCACAGGCCTCGCACTTGCGATGCTTGTGAGCAGAAGAAGCTCTACGAAGTCTTCGAGTCTGACCACAAAGGACCTGTGGAAAAAAACATTGTTTTTGTTTTTGAACTCCGGCATCACTGTTGAAACCTCATGAAAAAAGCGAACCAGCCGCTATGTGGGTACATGTAGCTCACCAACTATTTGCTTTATGAAGCAAGTAGTTCAGATTCTTGACTTTCGAAGTTGTAATCCAGAAGGGCCTCATTGGCGTTGCAAATGTGGCCGACGTATGGGCTACCTCTCCCAGTCTCTGTTTCATGGTTTGAAGATATCTGCGATGTTGTTGGTGAGGCTCTTGCATTTGTACATCACGGTGGATTTGCAAGTGCAATGCAAAGTGACGGACCTGGTGGCTCATTGTGGCTGTTGCAAGGAGCAAGCCTTGCATTTCCTTGCCACAGAAGCCCATGCTGGTCGTCAATGGGCAAGTGAAGTTCGCCTACGTGGTGACATCGAAGTCGACGCCACGGCTTTTGGGAAGTTCTACATCTCCAAGAAATGTACAGCCTTTCGCGCCCAGATAGATGAAATTCAAAGTCGACGCCGCCAACAGGGCGAACGTGATGCCAAAGCCTTTGTCGTCACGCTGCAAGTGCTGGGGGCCATGGAACGGAATGGGAGCACTCTCCTCCATCTGAGCGATCCTCGTGTGCCTCGACTTGTTTGCATTCTTTAGTTTTTCTTCACAATGATGTATTTATCACAGATCTTGTGGGTGTCTGTGCACCATGTCACGTCTAGCATGTCTGACCACTTCCATACTGTGGTTGCTGAGGTTCTTCCCGTGGGAGTCCGGCCGCCTACGGAGTCTCTGCTGGAGGTCAGACTTAGCAAATTGCTTGACTGCGTGGTGAAAAAAAATCCACTGTGTTCGCAGACGGCAATAGTGCCTGGCGCACGGAGGCTCGGCGCTTGGGCTTCAGACATGTGGAAGTTTGCCATCAAAGAAAAGAGTTCGTTCGCAAGGACAGAAAAAAGAAAGGCCAGACAGGCTCATGTATGGCTGGCACCCAGAAGTTAGATAGATGTTGGCAAGCTCTAAAGAAATTCGTTCCTCAGTCCTTTCCTCGGAAGCTGGGCAAGGCTGAGGCTAGCAGATTGCATCCGGCCATGCCACTTTTCGTGGAACAATTCATGTGGCGGAAGTCCGTGGGCAATGTGACAGCACAAGGCTTTCTGTCTGAGTTGGTGAAGATCTTCCAGAGCCGTGGTCGCAACTGAAGGAAGAAAAAGATTTCGCAGTCGCCGGCGATGGTGCAAAACCGAAGTAGTTTTCTCAATTTCACGCAATGTCATTTTGACAAGTGGAAATCAGAAAGTGGCAGTTTTACCTCAGTAACGTGCACATTTGCTACATTCCAAATGCTCAAATTCCTCACGGCCCCGAATCATGCTGGGGGAGGAGGGTGCGTCGAGGGAAGGTTTTTTTGAGGTTGTGTTGGAGGTTATTTTTGAGGGGTGGTGATGCAAGACATGCAATCTGCCTCATTTGCATCATCTGAATGGAAAGGTGTAGTTGGCACCTTGCCAGGTATAGAGACGCAGGGTAGCTATAGTGCAGCTACCAGGTATAGTACTTCAAGTCCCCTTTCCGTCAACCGCTCGATAACCTCTACACACGCACAGCAACGCACAGCTTTGAAGTCTCATTCGTGCTTTGAACTTGTATAGGTGTGTAAGAGGTATAGCAACATAGTATTTATACGGACCCAGGGTAGCTACAATTCTGTTCCCAGGTATGGCGCGCATGAGGCTTCAAAGCTGTGGTTTTCAAGCTACATTCAAGGTGGCCTGAGACCAGGGTTTGCTGCCCTAAAACACTCTGTTCAGGCCACCTTGAAAATAAGGGTGTAGTTGGCACCTTGCCAGGTATAGAGACCCAGGGTAGCTACAGTGCAGCTACCAGGTATAGTACTTCAAGTTTCCTTTCCGTCAACCGCTCGATAACCTCTACACGCGCACAGCAATCCACAGCTTTGAAGTCTCATTCGTGCTTTGAACTTGTATAGGTGTGTAAGGGGTATAGCAACATAGTATTTATACGGACCCAGGGTAGCTACAATTCTGTTCCCAGGTATGGCGCGCATGAGGCTTCAAAGCTGTGGTTTTCAAGCTAAATTCAAGGTGGCCTGAGACCAGGGTTTGCTGCCCTAAAACACTCTGTTCAGGCCACCTTGAAAATAAAGGTGCAGTTGGCACCTTGCCAGGTATAGAGACCCAGGGTAGCTACAGTGCAGCTACCAGGTATAGTACTTCAAGTTCCCTTTCCGTCAACCGCTCGATAACCTTTGAAGTCTCATTCGTGCTTTGAACTTGTATAGGTGTGTAAGAGGTATAGCAACATAGTATTTTTTACGAAAGCCAGCCTTCGTAGAAGGCGCCAGCGGAGTTGTGTATGGCGAACGAAGTGAGTAGTTAGGGGGTCTGGGGGGGGGTGGCCCGGGAAAGGTACACGTAAACTCGGCACATGCTGGGGGAGGAGGGTGCGTCGAGGGAAGGTTTTTTTGAGGTTGTGTTGGAGGTGATTTTTGAGGGGTGGTGATGCAAGAAATGCAACTTGCATCATTTGCATCATCTGAATGGAAAGGTGTAGTTGGCACCTTGCCAGGTATAGAGACCCAGGGTAGCTATAGTGCAGCTACCAGGTATAGTACTTCAAGTTCCCTTTCCGTCAATGGCTCGATAACCTCTACACACGCACAACAATCCACAGCTTTGAAGCCTCATGCGCGCGATACCTGGGAACAGATTTGTAGCTACCGTGGGTCCGTATACAAGCTATGTTGCTATACCTCTTACACACCTATACCAGTTCAAAGCACGAATGAGACTTCAAAGCGGTGGTTTGCTGTGCATGTGTGGCTTGAGAAAGATATACGTAAACTCTGGAAGGTGATGCTTTGATGCTTTTGGAGCGGGTGGTGACGCACTCGCCAACTATACCCTTCAATAGGTACTCGAACAGCTCAAATCCAGAAGATTCTGAAAATGGCCTGGCTCCCATATGAACCCTGGGAAGACTGGGAAGCGAGGAGGTGGAAAGTCCTTTGCTCTCGCTTCGCAGACCTTCATTTTCAAGGTGGCCTGAACAGAGTGTTTTAGGGCAGCAAACCCTGGTCTCAGGCCACCTTGAATTTAGCTTGAAAACCACAGCTTTGAAGCCTCATGCGCGCGATACCTGGGAACAGAATTGTAGCTACAATGTCCGTATACAAGCTATGTTGCTATACCTCTTACACACCTATACAAGGTCAAAGCACGAATGAGACTTCAAAGCTGTGGTTTGCTGTGCATGTGTGGCTCGAGAAAGATATACGTAAACTCTGGGGGGTGATGCTTTGATGCTTTTGGAGCGGGTGGTGACGCACTCACCAACTTTGCCCTTCAATAGGAACTCGAACAGCTCAAATCCAGGAGATTCTGAAAATGGCCTGGCTCCCTATATGAACCCACAATGTGCATCCTTTGCTCTCGCTTCGCAGACCTTCATTTTTAAGGTGGCCTGAACAGAGTGTTTTAGGGCAGCAAACCCTGGTCTCAGGCCACCTTGAATTTAGCTTGAAAACCACAGCTTTGAAGCCTCATGCGCGCGATACCTTGGAACAGAATTGTAGCTACCCTGGGTCCGTATAAATGCTATGTTGCTATACCTCTTACACACCTATACAAGTTCAAAGCACGAATGAGACTTCAAAGCTGTGGTTTGCTGTGCATGTGTGGCTCGAGAAAGATATACGTAAACTCTGGGGGGTGATGCTTTGCTTTTGGAGCGGGTGGTGACGCACTCGCCAACTATACCCTTCAATAGGAACTCGACTCGAACAGCTCAAATCCAGAAGATTCTAACAAAAGCCTTGTCACAGAAACACCTCAGGACCCTTGCTTCGCATATCTTCATTTCTGAGGTGGCCTGAACATATAGTTTCGGGCAGCGAGCCTCTGGTCCCAGGCCACCTCGAAGTTTGGTGCATTGTTTGGCTTTTGCTTCATCTGAATGTGGATGGGAATTATCTATGTGTGAAGTCGGTCGGGGGTCGGGGGGGGTGGCCCGAGAAAGGTATATGTAAACTCTTGGAGGTGATGTTTTAGTGATTTTGGAATTTTGGAGCGGGTGGTGATGCAAGAGTGCATTTTTTGCTTTTGCATGGTTACCTATGTGTGGGCAGAACAAGACATGAAGCAGATTTGACACGCGGCCGCAAGCGGCTGCGCGAGCTCATTTGATTGCTTCGACGCGCAGTTGTCGAGAAAGGGAAGCGCTGGCTTTCGTTTTGCAGCTTCTCAGGTCTTGACATATCTTGACATCACTTGTTCGGTAGATGAACCCCCCCCTCTGCCAATTGAAGCTGAAAGGGCTGCGCAACAACAACATTGTTAGGTGGACATCTTCAACAGGCTCCACCAAGTCAGATCGCTATTAGGTTGGAGGCCATCGCTCTTAGGTTAGAGGCCAATTCGCTTCTAGGTAGGGGGGCAGAGCGGCCTTTTAAAACATGCATTTCATTGATGATGTGTTCTGGCGACTTCCGGTGTCGGGAATTCATGGAGCTTTGACGGACTCAGGAGCACCTGTGACGATGTCTGTATGATTCTGCCAATGATCCCTGACTCAGTGGGGGCGCTGATTATCTAAAAGCCGCCGACCTCATGGTCGCCTTGTTTGAAGGTTAATTATCCCGTTTTCGCAGATCCATTTTGGGTGTCTATTGAAGCAGGGACGACCACACAAAGATCTGAAAGGGAAACATCGACCAGAACTGTTTGCCTTTTCCAAAACGCACTCAAAGGCCATGGCCTTTGTGCCTCCGGCAGCTCAGCCACAGACCTATGCGCACGAGGCGGGGAAAGCACGCATGCACGGCTGACCCCTGGTTGGGTTGTGAAATTTGGGTGTGTAAGTTGATAAAAGTTGTGGTTGTTTCTTTTGCGTTGGTGTTTTGATGTTGTCTAATTTTGATTGTTTGGGACTCGTTTCAGTCCAACATTTTCATCAGGAAGGTTTCAATGGTTTTCGCAACATTTGACAACCACCCAGTTTCCTGGGCCCAGGAACTACATGACGATTTTTCAGCCTTGAGGCGTTTGCACTTAGGAAGGTTCCTTCAGTGCTCCCTGCTAAGTCATTTTGTTTCCCCCAACACTCACGGGCCTCACGCCTCTGCATGAGGCCTCTGCTCCAGCGTTGGCCAAGCCTGTCGAGGCACTGCATGAGTGCCATGCGCCTGCATGGTGACGTTGGGCAGCAACAGTCACAACATGAGGACCTGTAGGATCTACAGACGCAACAATTGCACTTGCACTGCCTGAAACAACAAAACAACATGATTGAATTTTCCTTGCCAAGGCGTTTGCTATGATTGTTTGGGATAGTTCCCAAAGGCAATCGATCTATTTCGTCATGTCCCATACACAGATTGATGTTCCTGATTCATGAGGAACCATCTTCTGCAAATAATTTCTTTCACGGGCGAAGCGAGTCAGCGGATTTTGTTGGGTTCTTTGCATCGATTTCCTTGGGATGTTTCAATCCAGCGAGTTTCCGCGTGCCGTGCCATGCCCCAAGAACCGAAGTCCAAACGAGTCCATTCTAAAGCGCAGCTGACAAAATAGCTTGAACTTGTGCTGGCAAGAGCTTTATTCAACGATCAAAACCAAAGTCCAGAATGGATTGCAAACACTTTAGTTTAGCATGCTGCAAAGGCTTCTCCTTCACTACAAGAGCACCAGCACAAACCCTCCCAGACGGAGGTGGAGTCTGTGGAGGTTACTGCCCATTTGACTTTTGACTTCATTGAGTTGCTCCATAGGTAATTCACAGAAGAAGTGAGGAGAGGTGTTTGGTTCCATGATGTTTCCTATACTATAGGTTTTTCCTCCGGGTAACAATAGGTTTTTCCCGCAGAAACAAAGCCTAATGATAGTCTATGCAACCGTTTTAAGCCGTCGATCCCACAACCAAAAAGAGCTTGTGGCCATGATCCATCGCACTTGGGATCTTGCAAACTCAGCAAAAAATGACTACCTCATCAAGCTACGTCATCATCTTGTCAGCTTTCTTTCCAGCCAAGATTGTTGAAACATATGAGTTGTATGATTAAGGTGAGATATATGAGTGGTATATTTTCCGGGTATCTGAGGATTGCTCTATGATGAGTTGTACTATGATTATTCCATGACTATCTATGAGTGGAATATGAGTGGTATGAGTAAGAGTGGTATGACTTGGGTCTGTTTGAACCTACCTGTCAGAGTCAGTAAACAATTATATATATATATATATATCACATATTGTCACTTTTCAGAAAGGCCTGCAACCTAACCTAACCATCATGGTCCATTGTTCCTGGTAATAGGATAGACCTAAAGGCACGGTATGAGTATACCTAATAAATAGTACAAAACACTGGTATGCTCTACAGGAAACGGCCCAACATGGACACCACGGATCAGACGATTTCTCCTCCTCCTCTGCCGCTGTGACTCCAAGGGACCCGCGCGGATTCGGACGCGTCAGGAGTCCACGGGGTCCACAGGGCCTGGGAGCTGAGAGGGAGAGGCATCTCAGGTTTGCCAGTGAGACGTGAACGTGTATCAACGCCTCCAACCTAATAGCCATGGCCTCCCAAATTGTGATGGCCTCCAACCTAATAGCAATGGCCTCCAACCTAATAGTGATGGCCTCCAACCTAATAGCGATGGCCTCCAACCTAATAGTGATGGCCTCCAACCTAGAATCTAGAAAAGAAGGTATGTGCCATAATGTACGTAGACTCTTGATCAAACCTCGTCCAAAATGCATTGCAAAAGCTTTTCATATGGTACATTAAGGATTTCAGAAAACCCAAATAGCGGGAAGGTACTTGGAACCCCAGGGTATGTGAATTTGGTGAACTAGTTGTGAACGTTTTATGAATGAGGCTCAAGTTAAGCAACATGTTTATTTGCGAATGCAACATAAATCAACATAATAAACCATCATTCTGTCAATATCTTCATTTGCATCATCGTCATTTATGAAGAAAACACGACAGGCTGGTGCTTTTGAAGTCTTTTCAGGGCGTTGCGGGGCAGACACCTGACCTATTTGTAAATTGTAGCATTGTCTAGTCCAGTGTTTCCGTTTGAGCGTCTCAGGTGTGTGCACCCTGGGTGGAGCATGCGCACCGGGGTAAATCCAATGCTGCAACTCCTGATTCATACTGTTCTTCACGTCAATGTGTTTTTGCTTTCTAAAATCGTTCAGCGCCATTCAGATGATATGACTTGGTCATATGAACTGATATGATATATATATAATTATATGTCTCACGAGCTTGCTTGCCTCCTCATGCTCGTTTTCTGGCCTTCAAGTGTTGTGGCTCGTTGGTTGCTGAAACTGGTGGACCCGGTGGACATGAAAAACTCTCAAAGTCATGGGCCATCAACCAATTGCTCTCATTTTTGATGGACTCCTGTTAGAGAAACATGTCCATCAACCAAGCTTGGCTTTGTTGCTCGGCTTTTTGCGGACCAACCATTGTCAGTTCTCAGTTTTTATTTGTTCTTTTAACGGACAAAACTTGGCAAACGAGTTGGCCCCCCACCAATCTACCAACTGGTTCATCGGAGGGATATGATTCCACTTGGAGGTTCAAGTTCACTTCACCCTTGCAGGTTGGAGGCCATCGCTACTAGAGCGGAGACCCACTTCCCAACCGCCATTTGTGAAGTGTTCGGGACTTTGGACAAGGTTCTCCCTGGCCCTTGGCGCCAGCGTGGGCTATGCGGCAGCAGCGGTGGGCGCCGTGGCGCGCCAGGCCAAAGCAGCCTTTGGGTGCATTCAATGTGCATTCATTGATAAACCCTTTCCCTTTGAACTGAACCGCCTCTTCAGATGGTGGGGTTTATCATTCGAGAGTCTACATTACCCTGCTTGATGAGCCTTTCTTTGTCGAAGCTAGTTCTCGGGTTTTGTGCCATCTACCTGGTATACCCATTGTCCTTTAGTCACTTTAGTCGCCACCCACAACAAGGCCTTTACTAACCATGGTTATCCACTGTTACTGGTAGTAGGATAGACCCAACATATAAGAAGACTCTATGAAGTGAGCCATGTGAGCCGTTGGGTTCGCCCACACTCGGCCGCTCGCGCCGCTCTGCAGGGCCGTGTGGCCCGAAAAGCAGAGAAGGCTGCAGTGGCCAGGAGCGTTTGTTTGGGGCTGTTTGTGTTAGCATGGGGCTGTTTGTTTGGTAGGTAGTAGAACCCCATTCCGACCCCATGATATACATATAGAGTTCGTATCTATGGGTCGTGCATGAGATGTTTACAGATGTTCTACTGTATATCTGTTCTTACATGACTCGTAACATGTACATCGAACTGCTGCGTTGGATTCCAAGGTGCTTCATGATGCTGCTTGTTTCTGATCGTATCTCGGTATGTTGTTTGTTGCACTGAAACCTGAGAGCAACATAGAACCTGAGAGAACTGGTCACCCAGTCCGATCGGCATGTGTTGCCAACCCATTGCCCTCAACAAGAATACTGCCACCAGGCCTTCCATCAGCAGTCCAGTCCTTTTCCGAGTGGCCACCTTGACATCCAAGAAGTTGTGAAGAGCACATCTCATCACCCCAAACTTTTACCCCACCGGACCATCAGCTCACTCCCTCACTCCACATGGCCAGAGTGGCCCTTTTCCCCGCGGCCCAATGGCCACCTCCGGTTTCAGAGCGTGCGAAAACAGCCGTGGTCGTCGAGCGCTTCGACGCCCGAAGTGCACTCTCCGCCGTTCCTCCGCCGCGGTCCTCCGCCGCGGTCCTCCGCCGCGGTCCTCCGCTTCTCCGCGGCGTTCCGGGTGCAGATGTGCGGTCCGAAAGGACTCCGGTGGCCTATCCCATTTTCACCTTCCGTTGGTTGGCCGTGCACGCCCTGGTGGCCCGGGATCCCCGGTTGGTCGTGTCGGATTGGTCGTTCGGGAGAATCGGGGAGACGGGGAAGCAACGATCCCCAAGGATTGGTTCGGGAAGTAGACCAACAATCCATTGGGCCAGGGGGGGTCTCAATCTGGTAGACCAACAGCCACGAGGCTTTTCGGGGGATTTGGAGTTTGCAAAGATCTTAAATACGATGGGGTCGGTTGATTGAGACCATGGAGGATGTAAAATAGACTTGTCCTACATCAGACTGCTTTTGTTTAGGGAAGACGGGAGAGATGGCGTACAGAACGGGGTTTCCAGCGAAGCACGACAAGATATGACAAGCCACTTTCTTTCTGCAGCTGACGTTCTGCAGTAACCCTGTGATTGACCATATTTTGACCTTTCACGCCAGGTGCAGAACGCACATCGATGGCCTCCAACGTGATAAGTAATACTAGACCTTTCTTTCTTTTATTTCCTTTTCTTTTCTCTGTGTTTCTAATAGCAATGGCCTCCAACTGAATAGCGACGGCCTCCTGGCTGCGAAAAACACCCCAACCATCCAGGTTCACAAGGAAGCGCAGGCGATTTGGCCTCTTAAGTCCCGATTGTGTCCCACATTGTACTCCTGCATTGCCGCGCTTCACTTCTTCATTTCATTACATGGAATCACTAGCTAGATTTCGTTTTAAACATCTCCCATCACTGTTCACATCCTGTGTTCAAGTGTGTTGGCCTCCCCCCCCAGAAACTTTGAAAGGAACATGATCTCACGGTTGTCCGTGCGACATTGGCTGACCAAGATTCCCACCGTCTTCTTCCTTGGTGCGATCAGCTCCATGCAGTTCATCCAGCGCTGAGTACATCAACAACACGGCAGACATCGACCTGTCGACCGTCGCGGGAGGAACACCGTTGACTCGGGTCGCGTTGACTCGGGTCAGCGCGGTCCACGCGCACGGTGACGGGGAAAAAGACATGCAGCGACATGTTGCAGGCGTTTTGAGAGGTCCATACGATTTCGAGCAGAACCACAGATCTCGGGTAAGAAAGTGTAGAGGTGGCCTTGAACATGGAAAGACTTAATATATTTAAGGACAACTTCCAGTTTCTGAAAAGAGTCAGGCATTCACTGGGAATGATGATCATCTTACTCATCATGACCATCTCAAAAGTGGGGTCTAGCTTCTAGCTGCGCCATCAATCAACAGCCGACCAAACCGAAATGCCATAATCATTATCATCTTGATCATTTACACCAACTTCAGCAGACAATGTCCAAGCATAGGATTTCCACACCAGATGCTCATGATTGCTCATGGAAACTCCAGGTCTGGGTGTATGACCTACATTGAGGGCTTGGGAGTGTGCTGCGAGTGTGGGCTACTTAGGGTTGGGGAGAGAGTTTTTTTCATGTACAGGGCCACGGGGTGTAGTGATCAAAAGGTCCAAACGATTTCGACTGTCAGACCCGTGTCGCTGCACTGATTTTCTGGCAGACCAGCTGAAAATCCAGCGGTCGCAGCCGGGCCTAAACCAGGGAATTTTTGCGAGAAAAGTGATGTCTGCCGCATGGATATTTGGCACCTGCTAGCTTACCCTGACCTGACTGCACCGCGATGTCTGCTCGGGGCAATCGTGGGATGGTGGTCAACCCTTTAGTGTGACGGCCAGAAGGTCGACGATCGCCCACAGGACCTGTAGTCCTGTCACAGGAAACTCGACGTATGACAGGACCAAAAAAACAGATGGAGGATCTCTCAGTGATTCTCAGTGGTTGTGTATGCGAAGTGCCATCCATCAGGCAGGTTGAGTGGAGACCAACACTGGCTTAAGCCATCAGATACTGTATATCAGACATCATAGTGTTGATTGCCGACACTTGCCAATTGCTATCCTCCTTGCGTACATGCGAAGCAGAAACGACTGATGCAAGCACATCATCATCCCCTTAATGATCACCTGTAAATGTGTGGGACAATATCCATTTTTCGCTGCTCTTGGTGCAGGTAAAAGGTATTTCTTTGATCCGCGAACAAACTAAACAGCCTGTTGCGCGTTCGCAACATCTACATAGAGAAGACAGACTTTGTGAAGGCCGCCGTAAGATCCCGCCCGCCTGTCTCTGGCCGTCTTCTTTGCAGGTGTTTGGCTCCAACAGGTGACCCCTTTTGTGCCTTGCTGTAGCTCGTTCGCTACCTGAACAACCATGTTGCGAGCCGGGAGACCAAGAGTCGAGTCCGGGAGACCACGGCGGACTCTCCCTTCCTGTGGAGTGACGAGTCTGTGTTTAGCTCCAAAAGGTGTGGAGCAGGTTGAAGCAAAGAGAATGTCCATGAATCATGTTACTAGTAGTAATGCCCTTGTTACTAGTAGTAATGCCCTTGTTACTAGTAGCGATGCCCTTGTTACTAGTAACGATGCCCTTGTTACTAGTAGCGATGCCTTTGTTACTAGTAGCGATGCCCTTGTTACTAGTAGCGATGCCCTTGTTACTAGTAGCGATGCCCTTGTTACTAGTAGCGATGCTCTTGTTACTAGTAGCGATGCCCTTGTTACTAGTAGCGATGCCTTTGTTACTAGTAGCCATGCCCTTGTTACTAGTAGCGATGCCTTTGTTACTAGTAGCGATGCCCTTGTTACTAGTAGCGATGCCCTTGTTACTAGTAGCGATGCACTTGTTACTGCTATAGCTTCTTGCTACCAGTAATGCACTTGTTGAATCCACGGGTTTTGTTGGCTTTGTGATTACATGTTTGTATTTTCACGACGTGGGTGTGGACAGCATCCTTCTTTTCCGCAACTCGAAGCCATGGTGCAGATCTTCTGATTCGGCTTGTCAAAAAGGAGCCGCGAACGGGGATTTTAAATCAGGTTGCCGACCTCTCGCAGTGCCCGCTGTGTTGAAACCACATGTTTCAACAGGAGGTGCCATGGAATGCCGTGAAATACACAGGTACATCAAAGGGCAGGAGAGGATATCAATGTCATGCTCAGTTGGTGGTTTGTGCCTGATCTTATCATGTCTAGCGATGGCCTCCACCCTAATTAATAGCGATGGCCTCCACCTAGTAGCTTCTTGTTACTAACGTAGCTACTTGCTCCTAGTAGTACGGCCAGGAGCCCCGTTTGTAGCGTCCGATCGCTCCGTTCGTAGCGATGCCAGGAGCCCCGTTCGTAGCTTGTTGATTCTTGTTACTACAGCCGTGGCTGCTGGGTGTGGGTGATCTTCCGCCCCGTCACCCCTCATCACCTCCGAGGCCATCCTTCTCACGGCCCTCTTCGGCGCCGACGGGACCCCGAGAGAGTGGAGTTGGAGTTTTCATGTTTCATAGAGGGAGACTCTCAAAGGGGGAATATTGGCTGCACAGCTCACCTTGATATTTTAGAGGACATTTTTATCGCGGAAACAAAGGGTGAGCAAGAGTGTGAGAGAGCCGGAGCCTGTTTACAGGCGCTTGATTCGTACAGTGGAAGACCTTTGCCAAAGGATACCTAAGATCAAGCTGCAGCCTTTCGTGTACCCTGGGGATGGAGGCTCCTTTCCTGCCTTCTAAAATTGAATCCATGCATACCCAACCTCACCTAGCCTCACCGAAATCCCGGACCAGTCGGGACACTGGTCCGCCCGACATGAACCGAACCAGGAGCAGGTTGCCCATGAAGGGTGCCCCATTTCCGAGAGATGTCCTATCCAACATAGATGGATCATTTCTGTGTATCAACACAACAGCATCAACCAACTGCTTCTTAGATGAAACGTCATGGGGCGCGTCACCGCACGGAGAGTTTCACTCCTCACACCGTGCACCGCTCTGCAGCGTGGCCTCCGTTCCTCGCTTCCGCGCCGCTCGAGCGGTGTGTTCGCCCGAGGCCATGGCCTTCGTGGCGCCGAACGTGGGAACCGACGCACGCACCGCACGACCGAGCCAGGCCGTGGGCGGGGCAACGCGACGGAAGACACGCGACGGTGGGAAGGACGCAGCAAGAACTGACCGGTGTTGGTTTGAGTGTTGCTTGGGGTACTCTTTTGATTGAAGTATGGAAGGTGATGTTATTTGGGGGCACCCGGGGTTTGACAGTTGGCCTTTCTTTTGGATTCAGATGAGCTAAGAATTGGTCCTTTCCCTCGTTTGGTCTCACTGATCCAATTCCTTTGCCGTTCATCCGGCATCCAAAAGTGGAAAGCGGATGACTTTCACGACTCTGTCGCTGGTTTTTGAGCCTTGAGAGTCTCAACTTGAGAGCTGTTTTAAGCCACTTCCACTTCCACGACTTTCTTCCACTTTTGAGCCTTTTAACGACTTCGCAGAGCGCTTCCGAACTGCCACACTGCCGGCAGAGGCCTTCCGAGTTGGACCTTTCCAAAAATGGGACGAGATCGACCCGGTGTAGTGCAAAAAGGAGTGTAACTAGTCTCTTTTTCTTTTTTGGCATGAAGGCTAGTGTCTCGCGACGGACCTGCAACTAGTCTCAAATTGCGTAAACCATAGTCTGGTTGTTTGCTGAAGACTGTTGAACTCGGGCCAGGATTTGGTTGACCAGCAGAACTGAGATTCCGAAATCTCACAGTTCACCGGATGTGATTTGAGGTGCTCTCTCACCACGTGTCCAATTTTTGTATGGTTAGCAATTCCACAGCATGTTTGTAAGCACACGCAGCAGGAACCATGCGCAACCTACCCCTTGCCGAGCTGTCGTATACCACCAATAAAAAGTGCCACTGTAAATGGTGGAAAGGATCAACCATACGCCATGCCAAGAACCAGCCATTGGCCTGCCGGAAGCCTCCCTGGAATTCTAAGACTATATTGAAAGAGCGGTTTTGTACTGGAAAATACTTAGTAAAACAAGGGTGCTTCGGTGAACACCATTAACTCCTATTATGGTGGTTGGTGTGAACGAAGGCGCCATGCTCCCATGCGCCCTTTCCCAAACACCAGGCGAGTGCCAGCTTCGGTGCAGTGCCCGCCAGCAGCGAGGCATGCGGAGGGTGTCTGTAAACGCGGGCCGAAGGAAGAACACGGGTCTTCGACCTACTTGACTCGACCCGCGCGTGGCACCGCGTGAGCGGTCGCTTGGCCGCGCGCGTGAGCGGTCGCGCTAGGCCAGCACGACGTGGGGGAGCCCGGGCCCAGCACGACGTCATGGGTGTTCGGTGTTCGAAGTTGTTGGAGTCGAGGAGTCCCATCGAAAAGATGGTGATTCATTTTTTGGAAAAGGGCATTTTTTGGAGTTTGGATCCATGAAGTTCTTAGAGATCCTTCCAGGATCCATGAATGAAGGATCCATGGTTGGAGCCATGGCAACATCGATTTCACCAAGTTGTTGGATCAAGTGTTGAATCCTGCGGGTTCGCCCCAAGCTGGTGATCGAAGCCGACATGTCATTGGGTGTTAAGATTCAAGCAACACGTTCAACAAAAATCCACAAAGGATGCTGGATGAATCATAGCTCCAAATTGACTTACATGGCAAAGATGTGCAAAACATATATTGCAATAACCATTTCTTCATCTTCCAATCCTTCCCAGCCCCTCCAGGCTTCGGACGTTTCCCTTACGTCACCCTTTTGAACGCGCTCCCAGGTGCTCCTCCCTGTTTTTGGGCGTCAGCGTGGGCTACGCCGCCGCCGCGGTGGGCGCAGCCATGCGCCAGGCATGGCATGCGTGGCGCTCGTGCATGCGCGTGCGAATGGCCGTCGGCTGGGAAGTTGGGGTTTCATACCCGGGCCTTTCTGCGTTTGCAGCACCCCGTTTACCCGGTTTGATCTCTTCTTTTAGCAACCCCTTTAGAAGATGTTCTGCGGTGTGGGGAGGAATCCCATCTGAATCACCCCACAAGTGAGTGCTGGTACAGTGGATTTGGCATTTGGAGTCTTGACTAACGGTACCATCAATACCCTGAATCACAGCTGCCCTTAAACCATTCAGGTTTGGTGAGAAGAGACAAAAGGTGTTGATGCTGCTCCCTTCCCTGCTGCTAACAAGTGACAAACATGCTCTGAGCAGCTCCCCCCAAAAGTCTAGGTGGTCACGGAATCGCGTGGAAGTTTCATGGCGAAACTCGCACATCAGCGGAATCCACGGATGGGCAGATCCAGGTTGATCAGCTCATCACGTAGTTTTCAATAGTGTTCACATTGATTGGTTGGAAGACGTTAAGGAAGGTTTGTCCCTCAGCATGTGATCGTTGATTGATCCATAGAAATTGCTCTCCCCCAGAAACACCGCTCAAATTCGGAGATCTCCAGGTCAAACCTTTAGAAGGTTCGCATGAATCTTCTTCTTCCGCGAATGGTTCGCCGCTCCGCAGGGCCGCACGGCACGGATGGCCGAGAAGGCTGCAGTGGCCAGGAGCGGCGGCCTTCGGAGCACCTCCGAACTCGGCCGGCCGCCACTTCAAGCGGCTCAGGGCCGCACCGACCCAGCAGGTGTTCGGGGCTCACGGGGGGGGCCGCTCCATTCGTAGACCGATCAGGCTAGGACCCACGCCAGTCATAGCTTCTGAGCAGGTGTTGGTGGGTGGGTGCAAAGAGCTTTTCTGAGGAGGCACGACTGGAGCTGTAGGGTTACTGTACATATATATATATGGATGGTTTGGGCAATGGATAGGAAACTGGGCGTGACTGGGGACCGTATGGACAATCGACAAGAAAGCCTAATCAACGGCGAGAAAGCACCTACTAAACCAGTTCCTTTGCTGTTGGTATCCGTGATTCGAGTCAGGGCAGGACACAGGAAATTGGGGAAGTCCTGGTTGTCAATGTTTGCAACAGGTTTCTTCACATCAACAAGGACCAAGTTGACCCTGAATGTCATTGGTTTGTAGGCGTTTGTTGGGTACGATATCCTCGATCGATTTTCACAATTTTGGCATAACTATCTTCTCGTGGAGTTCCCAACTTCTTAGAGATTGGCCCCCTTGAGCATCCTTGAGCTGTCTATTTAATGTCCATCTTCACCGTCGGGTCTTACGGGTTTGCCCCTGTCCCAGCTGCGTCCAGGACCCCAGTGGCCTACCCCATCTTCACCTTCCGTTGGTTGGCCGTCCATGCCTTGGTGGTCCGGGGCACCGAGGAGTGTTTTCGAGGGAACGCTTTGGTGGGTGCATTCCGTTGAATTGATCCGGCTCGGTTGATGGATTAGGTGGGTGTTCTCTCCAGCTTCGCGGATTTTGATGTGTCCAAATGTTCTAACACATGAACACTTACTTGCTGTAATTACCTTTTTTGACTTGATATTCAGATAAAGTTGGGTAACCCAGCAACAAGCACTTCTGGGTCACTCGGAACATCTGGCTACATTGCGGTGGTGACTCTTGGGTGTCACTGTACTGGTAAATACTTCGGGCCTGGAGGGTTTGCTGACTTCGGACAAGTCAACTGAAGCCGCCACACCCTTCGTCCATCTTCATCCCACAATCCATCGCAGATCCAGGTCCCTCTTAGTCGGACGATAGTTTAGTAGCGATGCCAGGAGCCCCGTTCGTAGCGTCCTTGCTCCTAGTAGTAAGGCCAGGAGCCCCGTTCGTAGCTTCTTGTTCCCAATAGCGGTGCCCTTTGCTCCTAGTAATAAGTAGCGTCCTTTGATCCGATGTGCCCGCAGATGCCTGCAGACCTTCCAGATCCGTGTCGTCCATGGTGGACAGATAATGACAGATACATAGGTCATAGGTCCATCAATCGGTCTCATCATTGCTATTTCCTTTGTTTCTATTGTTGCTGATGTGATATAATATATATTATTAGATACTATTATATTATATACTGCATGATTGAACATCATTGTGTTTGTCCAATTGAGCAGCTTTTGATAGCTTTTAAGAAAGCAAGATATTCTCATGTACTCGTTGCAATCGACCGAAAACCAGGCATGAATTCTTCATCGCCTCAAAACAGAAAACCGAGAACACCCGGAGTTCTCAGCGTGATTCTCGTGATCATGATAAAACCGTGCTTTTGTCCCGAAGAGAGCCGAGAGCCGACCAAGAGATCCGGCCGAACCAGATTCCCACCGTCTTCTTCCTTGGCGCGATCAGCTCCATGCAGTTCATCCAGCGCTGAGTGTGGAACGACACAGACCCGGAATTTTTTCGGCGAAGGAAAGGGGCTGAGGGAGAATAGAAAGCGTGGGGTACTCGTAGACTACGAGGGACACAACAGGGAAATCCGTGAGAAAAAGTCGATAAGGCGGCTATTTGTTGAAGTCCAAAACATCATAGAAATGGAAGAAGTGGAAGAAAGACGTAGAAACTTGGACACGTCATGAATTATCTGCTAGATAGATAGATTCTAAAGCACATGCTGGGGGAAGAAGGAAGATGTTCAGTGTATATACATAGTTGCAACTTTGGTTGCACCTTCCACCCATCTCCATTCAGCAAAGGTTTTGGTTCCCACTTATTTGAACTGTCCACGGCGAAGTAGCCCTTCATGTGAAACCGCTGGTGCAGTTGATTTTGGCCATCCACAGAATGGCAGCTGTCCCAAAAACAGATTAAATACAACAACCAAATAGCTCTGTCGTGTTTTGATATGGTTCGTGCATGGGTTAATCGACAGTTGTATCAGCTAGTGTTTTTCTTTTGGAAAGGGCCTTCATTGCTGATGACAACATGGTGTAAAATGATTTCTTGCCTGGTGGCTGAAGGGCATACAGAAATGTATTGGAAGAGGAAGAGGAGAATGTTTGCAGCTGCTTCACGCAGCCTTTGGCTTCAAAGGTAATCAGGTGTCCACATCTAGTGCAATCATGTAGGCACTCGCCACTCGCCTTGATTGCAGCAAAACTGGCATCATCTGGCATCCTTTGGTTCAGTTTGACAGCTTCCAGGTGCATTCTACTACAAACCTTTCATTTTTTTTCGTGCGAGCTCACTAGATCTTACTGCGGGCTTCCTTGTGACCAGATCCTTCTCAATCTGCTCAGTCTAGCGGCTCTGCGCACGCGCCCGGGCGTGCGGCTTTGCGCACAGCTGCTCTGTGGAGCAGCTGGCGGCGAGCCCGCAGCCATGGTGCATGTGGATGTGTGGTCGTTGACCCTGGCGTCCCTGCAGTCCGTAGGGACCATCGCAGTGATGGCGCTCGCGGGCTTTTGGAGTCTTGGATGGACATAGGGTGGATGGATCCACCTGTGTGTTCCCTGGGCGGGATGAGATGGTGGTAGCATGTGGTAGCGTTTGGCTAAAAGGAACGTTTCCTTTTTTTTTAAGAGAAGGATCTTTCAAGCTACAGTGTGATTCTCTCTGGAGAAAGGTATGTTAGATGTTTGAAAGTATAGAGGCTTCCCTGAACTCAGTAATTAGCCAAACATAGAGGCTTCTAGAGAAAAGTGTTTAAAAGTAGTTAGCGGTCGACCAAAAGACGACCAAACACATGTTTGAGGGTCTCTTCCTCTCCGTGCATTACGCAAGACGTATCTTCGGCAAGATGGTGGTGCGTGCCTGAAGTCGTGGGTACCAGATCCAGAGGACCCCGCGAGGACCCCGCGGACCCCGGACGGAAACCCTAAGACGAACGAAGACGACACGACGACACGCGGCCTGCCCGTTCCGGCTGCCGGAACAGATGTTCGGAATCCATGTGCAACTGAATACGTCGTACGTGTGGCGTTCGTCGTAGGTTTGCTCAGCTCGATGTGCATTTAGTGTCAAACATGTACACAAATGCAACATTGAAATGAAGGATAGGTCTGCAACAGATACCTGTTTGGTACGCCGCACCGTCGCACCGTTGCGACCTTAGGCATCATAAACTGAACTCTTGGAGGAAGCCTTGTGGAAGCCGATGTCAGCTTGTTGTTATGGTATGTTATGGTGCGAAAATGACACAAGAAGAGATGCTTAGGAAATCGCTTGCTTCCAATCTTGTGGCTGAAACTCTCAATTAGTAGCAGGAAACTTCTGATATTTGCTGCGCTACTGCTAGGGATCCAACAGATCACAGATCACCCCCCCTCTTTCAATTCTTTGTTGGGGCGTGGTCACCGCTTCTATATCAGCCCAAACAGGGGCTAAGCCGAGGTAGAGTGAATCCATAGCATTCCTACAGTTTTGAACTGCCAACGTTGGTCAGGCTTGTGTGAACTCTGAATCCAATATTGTGTTGGAAAGTCTCCGATTTTCTGCAGGTCCCAGAAATTGGCTGGATCTTGGACCAACACCTTGCTGTCTTAAGGGATCGGGTCAGGTTTATTGCAGCACTCCCAATTACTGTAGGTACAAACTGGAAAGTCCAGGTATTTACTTAAGATTATTTAAACATCAACAGCCGTTAATCCTTTTTCAACCACCCATACGTTGATCAAGATTCCGGTCTCATGGAATCTGCGGAATCCTCGCCCAAGGCATCTATCTGTTTATAGTAAATCTCGACCACAAACAATAGACAGGATGGTTCTAATATGTTATATAATTGACTTGTTTAAAACAGTCACGACCAGTTATAGACACACTCCCTGGGACTCTCATGGACGATGGCACCACCAGTTGGGTCGAACTCATGGTGATCCGAACTCGTGGCCATGTTCCACGCAACCATGATCCTTCCAGGAATTGTACCATACAGAATGAAAAGGTAGATCCCCACCAACCAAAATGTCTTGGACACCGTGCCACTGTCTCTTTGGGCACCACGTGGTCCTTGTTTCCTTCGCGAAGCCACGAACCCGAAGACGGGGCGGATGGACGGCTCAGGATGACCCGCCTCGGCATTATCACCAACGAGGCCCCCGCGATGCGCCGCGGAAGCGCCAACGGATGTCGCTGCGTGCGGAGTGCGCCGACATCGAATCGGGTGGCGAGAAGGAAGGTGTGGAAGAGGGTGATGTGCGGCAAAAGCACGAAAGATGGCGTGACACCAAGACAGTGGCCTGACAAGGGTTGCTTTTTTCTTCGTTGATGTTCAGCTTTTAACATGTTTGACATGTGTCCGCTTGAAAGAAAAACAAGATTCTGAGCGTAAGTATGCAAAGAAACACTCCCGTTAAATCATAGCTCACATTAAATACACCCAAATCCGTAGCTCATATAGGTTGGAGGCCATCGCTAGTAGGTTGGAGGTTGGAGGCCATCGCTCTTAGGTTGGAGGCCATTGCAAGTAGAGATGACCTACTCAATTGTTGGTGCCCGAAATTGCCATTCGAGTGTGTTCTTCATATTGTTTTTTGCTCTGCAGATGCCAGAGCTGATAGCCTCAGCTCATATGCCGAGCCTATGCCGCGAACAGATTGACCTCTTTCATGAAGGAATGCGTGTCCAATCTAGTAAGTTCAAGGAGAATACTGTGGGCAATATATTTGGCTCACATTGGCTCACTAAGTATACTTTATGCCTATATAGTAACTACTGCAATATACCTCACTAAGTCACGGGAACTTAGCTAGTTCAGGTGTATTTGCCAAGTCACAGGCATGTGCCGACGTCGCAGTGATCTTGGAAGCTTAACCTCAATCCGCGCTTGCAAAGTCGTGGGAATCATGTGTGAGCACCTTGAAGACGTAAACGTCAAGCCCTTCAGAATTTGCCATGTCCGGACCTGGTGGGTTTGACATATTGTACTGTAATTGTCTAGGGCTCCAAGTGCCTCCGTTTCCAAGATGGTTGGGGTGGGTGCCAGGGGGGTCTAACGGTCTAACCTTCTGAGGTTATGGTTGGAGCCCTAGGGTATTATATACGTACCGACGGCTGTACGTCGTCTCTTCCTCACTTGGAACAGGCCCAGTATGGTCTACCATAAGGTGGATTGGTGGATTTGTTCTGTCGTTCCTGGTGACCCACCCTCGAAGCTCCAGCCCTGATTATTGGATGCCAACATCCCTACTGGTCCATGCAGCGGTCCAGCGGCCCATCGACCGCAGGTGAGAAAGGGCCTGGGCGAGCTATCGATGAATTTGTTGCTTCCTTGTTTGATGTTCTCTCAGGCCGAACGGGAATGGAGTCTACGGATTATACAGTACATACATTGATATATTATATAGGTTGTAGGTGTTTGTGTACATATATATAGTACGGATAGGTAGTATCGACAGGTGTTTCAAAGTGGATCAACAACTCATGGTTATGCTGACTGATCTATGTGGACATGCAACGAGCCCCGTTGTCAGATGCGATTGAAGATCCTGAGTGCTGTATTGATAACACTTTTGGATCCTGGAAGTTGCATGTGTCTCTGATGTCCTGCTTTGCACATAGTAACTTAGAACACTTTGGGATCCTGGTTTGCTTGGCAGTCGCGACGGAGTCTCTGATTTCACGTCTTGGGAAAGGTCCAGAACCTGCAGTGGACATGTTCCACTGTCTGTTCGCCAACGTCCGTTGGCCCTTGGCCCGCGATGGCCTCCAACCTGATAGCAATGGCCTCCAACCTATTAGCTACTTTTCATACGCAGGTTCAATTCTGGCTGTTCAATCCATTTCTGGGTCAAGGTGCCCGCTTGAACCGAGTTTGGGCTCAGGGGCTCCTGGGCCGGCTCGCGGCCGCGCGTTCGAGCGGCCGCGCGTTCGTGCGTGCAAGGGCGTTCGAATGATGGACTGGAGACCTGCTAATGTAGACTCTTGAGGACCATAACCCCCCCTCATTGAAGAGGATGTGAGCGCATTCAAAGGGGGGGTGGTATAAATCCTCAAGAGTCTACAGTCTACATGAAACTGTGAACCAGCTCTTCCACCCTCATGTTCTGATTATCTGGTCATGCCATCGTTTTGAAGCAACTGGAAAGAGTGGGAAACGAACCAGTCCCTGAAAAAAGAGTATGTTTTCTTCTACAAACGGGAGATGTTCCACTTCCATGTTGCAGGGAGGGTATAGATCATCTGACCCTGAAGACCTGAAGACAAACCAGCTGTGCCGCATGATGCACACATCTCGGCTGTGCAGGTGATCTACTGCAATACCATTACAACTCATGGCAGTCCCTGTCCCAACATGGCCCAGGCGTGCGGGGGCCGTGGGCGATATTTGCGCGGGCGCAGTGCGTGCGTTCCTTTGGTTGAGGAGAACACGCTCGCTACGGCATCCTAGGACCTACCGACCACGAAACATCAGTCTAGAGTCCTTTACTGGGATTGTCAGTCTAGAGGAAACGACGAGCTGGTGGTGAGGGAGCTAAGGAGCTGGAGGTATCCAAGGAGCTACAGTGAGTTCCCTATCCACTGGCTAGACTATGTTTGATCCAGGTGGAGCAGCTTGCTCCACCTGCCGCAAAACCCATATTCTTCAGACAAGCCGAGTAGCAGGGAAGAGGTAGGAATTAAGATCCGCTTTTGCATGACAATCACGCTCGCTTGAAACGCGCGTTCTGGCGTTCGGAACGTGCGTGCTTAAAACTTGCGTTCCAGAACGCAGCGTAAAAGCTATCCCTTGCGTATGAAGCTTGGAGCCTTTGAGGTGGCTTGAAGAGGCCACCTCAGTGAAAAAGCGTAGGCAGCCACTGTTTGCATTGGACCTGGGTTGGTCAACAAAATCCTTTTCTAGCAATTCGAAAAATGGATTTGTGATTGCGGGGCCCGAACAAACGATTCGGGGGCTGCGTTCAGAACACGCGTTCTGAACGCGGCGTTTTGCGTTATGCGTGCAGGCGTGGAAAGGAAATTAGTGTATGGAAAATGCTTTAACGCGTACAAAACAACTGTTTATTGGTCAACAGCAACACCACGGGAATGGAGACAGCCTGGCAATGATTTGCGTAATTCTGTGATTCCTACTTTCAACGGTGCCGTTGCAGGCTCCAGAAAGTCTTTTCATCCCACCTATGAAGCCAAGCGTTGCAATGAGGGTGTGATATGTTGGGTCAGAGAATGTTAAAGTGGTGGGAGTTGAACTATCAAATACGGCTGAGCCTAGTCAGTCGTCACAACAAGACTCCCGCATTGCCATGTTAAGGAAGACATAACTTCGACATTGGTGCACCAGACAATCAACACATACCAGAACAAATCACCAAATGGGAGGTGGCTTGGGCATCCAGCCACTAGGTGTTTGTAAGATGAGATGTGACGGCGGGGGAGTAGTGTAACAATCCAACTTTAAGAAAGCTCCTGCTTGCTGGTCTTCCTCCATAGCTGCTGAGAACCTGTGGCTTCGCATCCCCTTGCTGTCCATGGCGATGCTTCCAGAGCCCAGCCGTGTTGCGCAGCATCTGCAAACATAGCATGGAAAGCAAAACCAACTGTTCTGGCACGAAGCACCACGACTCAGATATGATTGCTGGCGAATGGAAAGGTAAAGTGCAGCCAGCTCTTTCGCATTCATTGAACCGGCTTTGACGACAAGCGGTTTGATAGAGTACTTTTTGTTGCACATGTTCTTTCGCGATCAAGGTAAGTTGAAACAGGACACCCAGCATGCAGGTGGAGAGGACAGGAGAAAGAAACATACGGATCATAACCTCAAAAAACCTCAAAAACTAAAAAGAACAGCATGTTCCTTGGGCTGCAAAAATTCGCCTGTTTCCAAGCATCCTCATCCGGAGTTTAGCAACATTCGACCACACCAAAGAAACAATACGGATCACAACCTCGAAACTAAAGGAAATACAAAGTTATATTTTTTCGTCTTGACTTTGTAAAAACAACATGTTTTGGACTAGTGGAGCACTATTTTACAAAATACTAGTATTGTTTAATGATATTTTTCAAAAAGAAAAGTAGAAAGACAATTTCTTCCTAAGCTCCAAAACACAAGCCCAAAACCCCAATTGTGCCACATAAGATTCAATGAATGCCGTCAACAAGCAGATCAGACAAGTTTTTGACTCCACAGGCCCCGGGTGAACGAGGGATGTGGTGGAATCAAGACATCTGGTAGCTAAGTTCTTTCGTGTTAGAGATTTCATGAATCCTGCTTGCACCACCCGCTTTTGCATGACAATCACGCTCGCTTGAAACGCGCGTTCTGGCGTTCGGAACGTGCGTGCTTAAAACTTGCGTTCCAGAACGCAGCGTAAAAGCTATCCCTCGCGTATGAAGCTTGGAGCCTTGGAGGTGGCTTGAAGAGGCCGCCTCAGTGAAAAAGCGTAGGCAGCCACTGTTTGCATTGGACCTGGGTTGGTCAACAAAATCCTTTTCTGGCAATTCGAAAAATGGATTTGTTTTTGGGGGACCCGAACAAACGATTTGGGGGCTGCGTTCAGAACACGCGTTCTGAACGCGGCGTTTTGCGTTATGCGTGCAGGCGTGGAAATGAAATTAGTGTATGAAAAATGCTTTAACGCGTACAAAACAAACGTTTATTGGTCAACAGCAACACCACGGGAATGGAGACAGCCTGGCAATGATTTGCGTAATTCTGTGATTCCTACTTTCAACGGTGCCGTTGCAGGCTCCAGAAAGTCTTTTCATCCCATCTATGAAGCCAAGCGTTGCAACGAGGGTGTGATATGTTGGGTCAGAGAATGTTAAAGTGGTGGGAGTTGAACTATCAAATACGGCTGAGCCTAGTCAGTCGTCGCAACAAGACTCCCGCATTGCCATGTTAAGGAAGACATATCGTCGTCATTGGTGCACCAGACAATCAACACATACCAGAACAAAGCACCAAATGGGAGGTGGCTTGGGCATCCAGCCACTAGGTGTTTGTAAGATGAGATGTGACGGTTGGGGAGTAGTGTAACAATCCAACTTTAAGAAAGCTCCTGCTTGCTGGTCTTCCTCCATAGCTGCTGAGAACTTGTGGCTTCGCATCCCCTTGCTGTCCATGGCGATGCTTCCAGAGCCCAGCCGTGTTGCGCAGCATCTGCAAACATAGCATGGAAAGCAAAACCAACTGTTCTGGCACGAAGCACCACGACTCAGATATGATTGCTGGCGAATGGAAAGGTAAAGTGCAGCCAGCTCTTTCGCATTCATTGAACCGGCTTTGACGACAAGCGGTTTGATAGAGTACTTTTTGTTGCACATGTTCTTTCGCGATCAAGGTAAGTTGAAACAGGACACCCAGCATGCAGGTGGAGAGGACAGGAGAAAGAAACATACGGATCATAACCTCAAAAAATCTCAAAAACTAAAAAGATTTTCATGTTCCTTGGGCTGCAAAAATTCGCCTGTTTCCAAGCATCCTCATCCGGAGTTTAGCAACATTCGACCACACCAAAGAAACAATACGGATCACAACCTCGAAACTAAAGGAAATACAAAGTTATATTTTTTGTCTTGACTTTGTAAAAACAACATGTTTTGGACTAGTGGAGCACTATTTTACAAAAGGCTAGTATTGTTTAATGATATTTCTCAAAAAGAAAAGTAGAAACAGAATTTTCTTCCTAAGCTCCAAAACACAAGCCCAAAACCCCAATTGTGCCACATAAGATTCAATGAATGCCGTCAACAAGCAGATCAGACAAGTTTTTGACTCCACAGGCCCCGGGTGAACGAGGGATGTGATGGAATCAAGACATCTGGTAGCTAAGTTCTTTCGTGTTAGAGATTTCATGAATCCTGCTTGCACCACCCGCTTTTGCCGGGACCTTCTTTCGCAAATTGCAAGCGACTAGGGCAGGAACTGCTCGTCCGCTGCGTGGGCAACATCGTTTACACCCACAACTTTGCGGAGCAGCTTGTTCAAGCAATCTATTTCATCGCAGTATGTTTTGTTTTGCTTTGTGCCGCGCAGGTGAAGACTATTTGGCCATGCCTCATGCTCGATGCTGTGCAACATGGTCTGCGCTGGCGAATTTGCTTCGTCTTATACTTCTCGTTGGTGGCCTTTAGTAGAAGATGTGGTTGAATCAGCAAGATGTTAAAGCTCTTCAGTCATCGATCGATGCGGAATGCGTGGCGAACAGCACGCCCGCGTCTCTATTGATTGCGCTTTCGGTTTTTGCCTCGCGATACTAGGGCAGAAGGCCTTCAACATCAAAAAGAAATTTCGAGAAGAGGCTACTTTCAAAGACAGGTTATCACAGTCCGCGGGCAGACCGGAGCTGTTGTTTCAATGTTTGCTGCCCACAGTGAGGGTTCTGATGATATTGCGCGAGGCTTTGTTGGAAGTGTGGTTTGTGGCCACTGATGCCCCCAGTCATCGGTTGCACCATGTGCTCTCCGAAGTTCTGCCAAACTTTGAAGCGTTGATGTTGGGCCCAAGAAATGTTGCGGTGCAGTATGAATCAGCCTCAGCCTGCAAGAAACGAGTGGGTCCACTGCATTGAGACTTTGCTTCGCTAAATTTGCCAATCAGGATCATCAGCTTGGCAAGATTCACGGGGCAATGTATTCACCATGGCGACAATGTTCGCAATGCGAGGAGCGCTTAGGAGCAAACATTGCATGAACAGATTTTGCATGGTACCATGCCTGCCTTCAAAGCTCGAAGGCCTTTTTGACTGGTGTAGGCAGTCTCAGTCTCGACGTGTGGGGAAGCCAGGTTGCTGTGGAATGCCTAGGAGCGATCAGTGCTACCTATCGTGCTGAAGTTACGCGCGAAACCGAAAAGGAAAGCGCGTTTATGACATGCTATATGGCCGGCAGCCTGTAGCCAGATAGATTAGGGTGGCTCTTCAACAATCTCCGCGTCAGGGCGACGATCTCCAGGAGTGGCAACGAGAGCTTGCGCGCAGAGGTCAGCGGCTGGCTTCGGCAGACCTAGTTAGTGCTTGCACCAGAGTTCGTTGAGACTAAAGCTGAGCGTCTTAGTTGTTGGTAAGTTTCTATCCCACAACACAGTCTTGTATTCGCCAACGCGAGTTGGTGAGGGCTTGTGGCAGTGCCAGCAATTGAGCAATTTAGGCAAGGCAGATGTTCAAAAGGCTATTGTGCCGGTGGAAGAGGCACGCAAAGCTAAGAAGCTGAAAGTAAAAACTCTCCTTGCCAAACGTGCCCAGAAGCGCCCAGCCGCAAGAAAGGCACATGCGTAGCACAGCCTTTACGTTGCCTCGCTCTTCTGGATTGAGGCGAGCTGGTGTGCATCATCTATACAGAGACAACTTGACTCAAGAAGCAAAATGCTTTATGACATGCTAGTGGCCCAGGGAAAAGGTAATAGTGCTGTGTGCAGCTGCATGGGGCTCATTCTGAAAGAGAGGATGCGGGGATCACCGAATAGCAACCGATTAAACAAATGGCTATACGTTTTGGTGGTGGGTGCGCATACGAGATTCATTTGGACACACAGGGGATTTGCCCCAAACAGCCGGTTCACGGGTCGGCTGGTTCTTCCCTTCATCTTGTTCGGAACAGGTGATTTTGTCCTCAGTGGATCTCTTCTTTTGGCCTATTGTGGTGGTGGGCTCTGGATACATTTTGGGTTGCCCAGGCTGCACCAGCGTGTGATCTGCGTTTGTGAATAGGAGGCAGCTGGCACATGCTGAAACTGAGCAAACGCGCTGAAGCTTTGAACGTTAAAAATTAGACGAGGGATGGAAAAAGGACAGTGATTGAAACATGTGTGCGGACGTTCTTCACCTTTGGGCATTTTTGGGCGACTTCTTGAAGCGTTCCTGGGAGACACTGCTAGCTGCTACCTTCCTTTGCCACCTTTCAATCTTTCCGGACACCCAAAAGCCGGAATTCTGGAAGCGCCACCGCTCAGGTTACCTCGCCGCGGCCCTGATGAGGGTGCCGCCGAGCTTTCGCCGTGCGGCGGCCGGGTCGGTGGCCTTCGGCAACAGTACCGGCATGCCCGTGGTGTTGCTGAGCACTTTGGCGCCCAGCTTGATCGAGCAGAAGGTGATCGCAGGAGACATAAACTATCATACACTTGTGTGATTTTTTGGTTTTGTCAGGGGCGAGGTGCAGGTTAGAGAGGTGGAGGTCGCATGAAAATGCATGTGATAACCAATCTGGCACTAATCAGGCCCTCGAACCGCAAGAGTGTGCGGACTGCTGCGTGTTCTTTTCAATCCTGTTTTGCGGCCTTTAAGTTTGACAAACATCGGGTTCTCAAAACTGAGTTGGTTAGGGCCTGGACTGCCACATGACTGGGTGCTTCACCTGGGTGAAACTCATCCAGCTGGAGGGATGTTTTTTTCGCTGGAAAGGGAGTGAGACGGTCTACCTCCTGGAGATGAGTCAGACTCGGCTGTCAGTTGAGGAAAAGAACCTTCGAGCTGGAAAAAACACAAGTCCCAATGAACCACTCATGAACCACTCATGAAGCACGACATCAACAGAATCTCTTAGCTAAGTCCATCCGACCAGGAGATCCGCTCCTCTTCTTACCGGTCTACTTGGTTTTATCCCCACTGCTCCAATGGACGGTGGGATCCTACATTTTCCGCGGCACACCTGAGGACAAAGGCGCGTTTTTGTGGAGACATGCAGCGTGGGTAGAGCGCGTGAGATGGGCGAAATCGAGACTTGCGGCTGAAAGCAGCTACTAAATCTTCCAGCTGATCAGTTTGTAGGTGAGTCGCCCCAAGCTGGAAGAATTCATGAATTGTTGGTGAACAACACCAACTGGGGTTCTGTGATGCAGGATTCATCATATTTTTCCGTAAGCGCATTGACCCATTGACTGTTGTGTCTATTTGTTTGTTTGTGCTTGGTACGGGAGAGGGGAATTCCCAGTGCCAACATGTGCACCAATGAAAAACCAAGCAATGTGGCTACACAGCCCTTCTAGTTCCTGTATATTTTCTAGGCCGGTTTGGAAACATCGCTTAAATCACCATAGAGACTTGGAAGAAGACACCCTCCATGTAGCCTTCGGAGCCCGCCTCGCCTGCCCTGCTGCGCCTCGCCCTCGCCTAGCCCTTATGCTCCGCACGGCTCCGCACGGAGGCACCGGCGAGGCCGCCGTGGAAGCGGCCGACGAGGGGGAGGAGTCGCTGTTGAGCTCGGAAGAGGAGTCCAGCTCGATTCCGGTGGTGCATGCCGCTTGGCGCCGGGGCCGCGGGGAGAAGTGGTGGGGGGGGAGCATGGGTGAACCACCTGCGGCGGTTTGGAGGTTTGGTTGAACGTTTCGAAAGTTTAGGTGGAGAAGTGGAGGAACAGCTGGAGGCTGGAGATGTGTTTTCTGAAGTTGATCAGCTGTGCTGACACCTACTCAACTGCTTCATTCCTTGCAAAATTCTCACATGATGGTCTACGACATACTCCAATGCCAGAACAACGTGCATGGAGTACTCCAAAGCTTAGCAGACTTTTCGTTGAACAAACAAGCTGTCGGCGAATCGTGGCGAATCCACAGTGGAAAGGCTCCACCAAAACATGTTTGCTGAAGCATTAAGATATTAAGAGTAAGATCTCGCAAAGACCGTCGATCGTGTTTTCTGATTGCTCGCCAGCGTCAAGGACCATATAAGGCCATACCGTTGAGTCGGACGCCACTGGTTTGCCCCCCTTCCAGGCCCCCGCCCTGACTTTCCAGGCTCGGACGGCACATGGAGCTTTAATGTCCAGGAGTCTGGGCCGAGTAGCTGTGGACTCGTGACGAGCCGAGTGGTCTGGGTGTTTTGGATATCTGGATCTCCAATCCCTTCTCAGGTCGTAGGGTAAAGAGCACCATAGGGTACCACAACGACTGGGAAGGCGTAGTTTTTTGAGGTTTTTTGGAATCTGAATCATCGATCTAGTCTTAGACTGATGGCCCTTCTCAGGTCGTATGCTAACTCCAGCCATCCGCAACAAACACGGGGATTTCTGGCATTTTGACAGTGTCGACCTAGGGTTTGAGTTGCTGATGCAGTGTCGACTCATGGAAGTAGCGGTTGTTTTTGCCGGCTTTCACAAGAACAAGACAGAGGAGAGCCCCCATACTTAGGAGCAAACCAGAGGGTGTTGGAAAGAAGAAAACACCTCTTCTGTTGTCATTCTCCAACTTTCTGAGAGCTTCTGGGAGCTCACCATCTTCATTTATGGTTAGGACAGCAACAGTATCATGACCCGCACCCAAAAGCGCCAACGTGGTCATGGCACGGGTCAATCCTCTAAAAGGAACCAACAAGGGACCAGATTTCCTTCAGCTCACCCATTTGGGTGGCCGCTTTGGAACCTGTTTGAGGGTGATGCCTGTGCTCCTGAATCAGGGTGGAGGGCGACGAGGAGGACCTCTCTGAGGAGCAAGGCCCGTCGATCACCCGACGCCAGACCATCGGCGTGCCCATGGCCAAGCAGGCGTGGGCCCTGGACCGCGGGGCGTCCCCTTTGGGGCTCTTGGAGTGGGGACGAGTCGAATTTGTTTTTGGAAAGAGTTGGAAGATGTACAGTGGTTTCAGAGTAGATGGCACAAACCCCAAGATGTCCTTGAGATAGGTGTCCATATCAACCACCTTTTGGGGATTGTGCCATCTACTCTGAGCCCACTGTTGAGGAAAGTGACTTAAAGACCTATCGCTTTGAAGACTCAAAGACATTTAAAGACCTAACGCTTTGATATCAATTCACTTCGGTTTTTCACTCCACGCGTTCTAAGGCTTTCTCCTTTTCCCCACTGTTTGTGACCGGTCAAAGGGGGGGCGACCATCAACAGAGGGATAGGGTAGTCAAGAGCAACATTACGTAGTTTGCCGATTGAAGAATAGGTCGTTTCTATGCTTAGTATTGCCTATATATATATATATATCAAGTGTGTACTCAAGCATGTATTATGCATTATATAATCCTTATATTTATTCAGCTGAGCTATCTACAGATTTGGTGGGAAGATCAGAGCCCCAAACCGATCAAGCCAAGTATGCTACGTAGGCCAACCAGGTAGCCAAATCTGCAAAGTTAATTGTATTCGTTGTGGCTCACCCCATCATGGCACCAGTTCTACAGTCCGGATAGGTATGGGTCCCAAGATGCACTTGGGCAAGTGGACATCCCCAAAAAGTTGACTTGTCCAGTCTTCTTTCCCTGAAAACGGTTCAAAAGGCAAAAAGACAGATGCGAACCCTCATAGCGGGATACAGTGACTCAAACCAATCTCGTGATCGCAGGTTGAGATTGTGTGGTTTCGGTAGTCTATTGTCACAGGGATCTTGGTTAGCATTGCTTCACTTAACAGGATCATACGCAGCACAACGTTCTTGCACTGCCACAGCGTTGGTAGACCCATAGATGGCCTTTCTTTGTGACTGGCTCAGGTGGGCAATGGCTTCTCCGCGCAAGCAGAAGTGGAGGACGGAGATTTGGAGTAGAATGACCGGATCTGATGCGCCCGAAGGACACCCCATACACACGATGACCTGCACATCACACTCGATCCGCGGTCAGAGTCCATGGCGGACCCTCTCACAGCGGTACTATGGTTGACCTCGACCGCCGAAAAACCCAACAATTGCATGAAAGTCATGATCATAGTACCTCCTTATAGAAGGTGTTTGGACCCGACGTTTTGGGGCCTACACAAGCGTCGAACACATCACCCTCGAAAAGCAGGTATGTGGATCCATGGCCATGTTTTTTCATGTTTTTTTTTCACAAAAGTCTTGAAGTGAGGATGTGCTGGCTGTTGAAGACTTGCGGATGCCGAGAAGGAAAAGCTGTGCAATGGCTTTGAAGAAGGCGCTCTTCATGCTCCTTGTATCAAGATACACCGCATCATTTTTTTAGTATCCCGGATATTTGGTAGAAGAGTCTGCACACAGATTCTGATTAGACTTGACTATATGCACAAGCTTCGCAGGTTTCTCTATACGCTATACGCTTTTATACAGGATGGGAGGTCTTTCGAAGGTTTGACCACCCAAACACCAGGCCACTTCCCTTTGGCACCCGGGTGCGCCCGGGCGCAGGAAGCAGGTTTTGGACACCAGGCCAGCTGTCTCGAAAGCTCCCAGGTTTTTGTCGCCTCCAGTGGCCGCCACCATCCTTGGGAGCCTCGCACGGCAGCGGCCGCGGGACGCGGTCCCGGTGGTTGCTGCGCGCGCGCGCGCGCGCGCGTGTGTCCGCATGTCCTCGTTGGGTACGACACCGAGCGTGGCAAAATTGAAAGGAATTGAAAGGGGAACACCACCTGTTTGTAGACATGATGATTTTGGTGAGTGTATACTTGAACCATACCCAACACACTCCATGGGACTGCCATATATGCCCGCATTGGGGTGGTTGACTGGGGTGTCAATGGGGCGGCACGTATGGCAGTCCCATTAGTCGTGTCTGGGATACTTCAACCATATATGAGTTTAAGGTAGTTTGATATTCGATTCCTATTCTCTCCATGTCACGATCATCGCCATGGAGTAGTTCTCGAACCACTCAGCTCATTCGCAAATCGAAGCACAGTCGTCTCTTTCTGGCCCCCCCAAAAAACGAAGAATCTATCCCTTCAGGTCAATGACCTCATTACTTAAAGGGGGACCAGGTTTGAGACCTGGCTCTTTGGACTTGTAGGATCTTGTATAGATATGCGGTATATATGTTACTTCATGGCGATTCATGTAGGACGTCTTTTTCATCGTTGCCACGACTCCTGCAGTTTCAGCATCTTGCAGCTTTGTGAATCGCAGAAAATCTGAGATCCCAAGGGAGTTTGTGAGCCTCTTCCTCTGGGCTTCAGCCCACTCACAGAGGCTCTTCAGAGCCGACTGAGACCACCTCATTTATAGACCGTTTATGTGTCTTTTCCCGAAACCCATTGGGGTGTTCTCCCACAGATGGCCCCCATGGCCTGCCGCCCTGTCCCCGTCGCCACGTGTTTCGCGGGCGCCACCGCCACCGGGGCAGATGGACGCACTGGACGCCGCTCAGGATCTTTGTGGCCTTTATTCGACCCATCCAGAATCTCGCTCAACTAAGGGAGTGGGTGCAATGTGGGGTGCTGCAAATCTCTAAGTTTTCTTTTTTAAACATATATATAACATATCGATGGCTGTCAACTAAGTCTGTACCTATGGAAGATGTTTACCAAACATGCTTGGAATTCGCGTGTTGATCTATTTGAGCTACATTCGCATGAGTTTTTCGCATGTTTGGATTCTTCCACATACTCACCCATTGGACATGGCATCGTAACATATCATTTCTTTAGGGAGGATTTGGGACGTTGGTGAGTCACCGCAGAAAACAGCACGTCGGGGACGGTGCAAGACGAACACGTGCGAGTTCAGTATTTTTGTCGTTTTTTTGGGGAGTGGAAGAGATGACAGGAGCATCTCTTTTGTGGTTTGCCCCTTTGTCCTTTTTTTTTTTTCCAATTTTTTAGACTGTCCATCTTCAGAGAGAACCAGAGCTAGAGGGTGATATTGCTTCAGTTCGTATCCGGGATGAGAAAACCACAGACAACCAACCAATGTGTCGTCGATAAATTTGCTTAGATTTAGGAGCATCGGAGGCATTTTGAAGCTATCATTGGGCTTCACAACCAAAAACCTGTGGATCCAGTTACCACTATAACAGGTAACCAGTGGTTGCACAGACCTAAACCGTAGACCTAGAAACCATGGTCCCTTATATATTATATATATATGCTATAGGTAAGTATATAGGTAACTGGGATCGACTGGGAAAGACATCGAACCATAGAAGGAAACGTAGAACCCTTGGCGAAGACATGGGAACATGGGGTCCAGGGTCGATCGAATGGTTTTCGAGTGTGAGGAGAAACAAACAACTAAGACCACACTGTCCCAATTGGTCCAATGATGTCCAAAGACACTCTTGCTGGTCTGGTTTTGGTCAGACCCTCCAAAAAATGAGATCCTCTCCGGTCGCAGAAACCAGACTACGCTGGGGCCCCGTCGGTGCGCGCATCAACGCCCGCGCCGTCCACAGCGGCGTCGGAGGAACCAGTTCGTGGATTTGAAAGACCCTGACATGCGCGGCACACATAGCCTCACATGGCTCTACAAATCCATCTATGTCCTGGGGATGCTCAACCAAACAACAGCCGTGGGATGGACTGCTCGAACAAGCGAAGCAGTTGGCGGAGGTGAGGAAAGGGGGATAAAGGTGGTCTACTCCGGGTGTTGCAAAGTGGCTGGACATGTTGGTTGTCGCTGTTAGTTTGGGAGGTAGAGGTTTTGACATGTTTTGACCCACCTTCATTTAATGATGATTAACAACCTTCTTCACGAGACCGGGGAACCACCAGTCTCAAATTGACCAGCTTTGTTGGGTCGACGGTGTTGATTCGCCAGCTTCAGCGGAGAGTCCTTGCTGTCGTGAATGCTGTTTCCACAAAGCAAGAAACTGACCATGCAGACAGCACCGTTGGTGAGATAGCAAGCACTGTTGGTCCCCCTATGTTGTTTCTTTGGTGACCCCGCCGTGTGTCAAAAGGCCCTAATGGAGGGGAGAGAGCACGTGACCTGACCATGTTGGAACCGCCGTACTCCGAGGTGAGAACACGGTGCCATGTCATGTACGTCGTCCGAGACCGGTACTCCCAGTCCAGCGCACCGAGAAGAAAGCGGAAGCTTTCAGTTGCAACCCGTCCGCGCGCGCAAGTCCGCGCTGATCGAGCGTTCAGGAAGTCAGCGGTTCCGGTCAACTTGCTGATGCTGGGCTCCAATCTGTCAAGAGGTGCTCGTCCTTGGACCGTCGCGTTCCCGCGAGCGATTGAATGCGAGACAGTTCAGGTCAACTATTTTCTGACCCGTATAGAGGTCCTTTCGACCTCATTCAAGTGAACTCGCTCGATTTGAGAACATGCATGGCTCACTCAAATTTAGTCTTTGGACCAACTGTTTGTTTGTTTTTTAAAAACATGTTTTTTGGACATGCATGGAACTGTATCATCATAATCATGGATTCCAGGTACCATAGGCATACAGTTACACAAAGTTACACAAAGTTCAAGACTAGATTTTGTACAAAGATACAACCATTCAAAGATAACAACCATTGAACAATTGCAGTATAAGTTATATGTGATTGCTTGGGCCATACTGCTGTATGCTCCCTTGTGAAGGTGCACGCTTAGTGGAATCTTCAAAGGTGTCATACCTATACATGCAGCTAACAAGGCCGATCCGACTGTGATAGAATAATGCACACAGCATGAAGTCATTAAGTGACTGTTTGGCATGAGCCAAGAGCCACTTTTCAGCATTTGCAGACTCCCCCACTGCCTGAGGAAGCCTCAGGCAGTGGGTTGCTCAGTCCAGTTGTCCGTTTTTCAGACCGACCTGTCAGACCGGCCTGGACGTTCTGATGGGTCTCTTGGGAGGGTTCGTAGGTGTATTCTCGTGCTCCTAGAGATGAGAAAACCCCCTTTTCGTTCTTCGTCATCCCACTGTTGCTGCTCGAACCTCGATGGAGGAAACCGCACGGTCCAGGCGCGGAATTCAGCACTTTGCCCATGTGCACCGCGGCAGCTTCGAAGCAGATCGTGGATGTCCTTCCCACCGGGGCGGAGAGACGCGGAAGGGCGTCGGAGATACGTCAATCAACGTATATATAGATAAGGCTTGTTGTCACTCGTGGTCTCCACACATCTTTTGTTCATATTTGTTGCACCCGATGCAGCACCAACGAAAGAAGCCCTCGTGTCCACGAAGTCGCGTACGGCACTGTGCCGTCACAGTGCCAGATTGATGACTCCAAAGGCATTGAATCTGGACGGAGGATCGACTCAGGGTCTCACATGATCGACTCATGTTGACTCTCCTTCAGGACTCTGGGCAGAATACAGACTACAGAATAGTTACAGTGACTACAGACTCTCACCACATGACTCACTCTGAAAACGTGGGTCATATCGACTCATTGATCAATTCTGAACACCAACGGAATCCACGTCGACTCATTCATCGATCTTCTCCCCTCCAAGGTGGTGCTCACCATCACCAAGATGTTGATCCAACCCGCTTTGGTGGCCTTCTGGGTCTTCTGCCTGGCACGAATGGAGCTGGGCCCCAACGTCAAGGGCAAGTGGCTGGTGGCCATCGTGGTGTCCTTAACACCCACCGTCCCTTGATGGCGATGGCCGATGGCCCCCGCGCCCACAGCGGGCAAGAAGCGGATCCGCTTTTTCACCGCGCCGTCGCGGTTCTGTCCAAAGAGAGTAGTTTAGTCCCGAATCGGGTCGAGCCCTCAAACCAGCTGTTGTGCTTATTTGGTGGAAAACAGTCTAAAAAGATCTAAAAAGAGTCTTCCACCAGCAGTCACAAAGGGATTGCTTTTTTGATGTTTTTAGTCCCTAAGTGAATGGATAATGGGCACCCCTATCCTCCAAGTTCGGCGCCCCTTTGTGACGGCTGGTAGAAGGCTTTGTTCTTCCTATTTTGGGCAGTCCCGTGATCTGCCTTGTGATCCGATCACAGAAGTCAGCGGAAAAGTCATTCGTAGAAGGACTGAGATGGCCCAGGTGACCGTTCGAAAGCTAGGTTGCCGAGACCCGGCCATTTCTTGTTGGGGAGAAGGTTCCACAGACCTGCGAGGGTTTACATGGTGAAGCTCTCGGCAGGTGCAGAAGGGGAGAAGAGGAGGAGAAAAGGAAATAGGGAGAGAAGGAGAGAAGGGGGGGAGGAGATGGACTAGAGCTGAATCATCACACAGAACTTGTTCAGGTTCTGTTTTGCTTGTAGTTCTTGGGTACAATAGTTGAACGAGTTGGGAAAAGAAACTCCACAAAGGAGTCTTCAAGAACTTCAAGATCATGGACTAAACACAAGAAGAACACGTTGAGGTAAAGAGAGACAGACAGAGAGTTGAACAAACACAAACACGCATGATTTTATCATCACTCAGGGCTCAAACTGCGTCGTATTCCTTGGTTAACCTCAGCAAGTAGCAGATTTGTATGAGCCTGAGCATTGTACCAATCCATATAGCTTGGACTATGTTGATTTCTGCACATCATATACTAATATACATCATAATACATCATATGCCTTGTTTAGGACACATGAAATACGGATCTTAAAATAAGGCTTTCACATCATGCTTCGCATACCCACACAAGCTTCACAAGTTGCTTCAATGCAGTTCTAAAGATACCAAAGCACACACACACACATTAGACACACCATCAAACGAATCTAGAGCCATCCCCTCCCCTTAAAAGGACCCCTGGTTCCTCCTTTCAGACCTAAAAGTAAAACAGGACTGAAGCGGACCTTCGGTTCCTTAGAGGCCAGAAGAAACATGCCAAGAAGACAACAAAAACATCAACATACAAACGTATGCACACATAGTAAATTTAACAACAAATACTGACTGGTGCGACTCGCAGGGAATGAGGGAATGGATCCAATAGAATCTCTATTGGGGGCTCATTCCCTTATTCCCTACTAAGCACCAGTCAGTATTTGTATTTTTTGTCTTTTTTGCCTTCGGTCCGAGGCCAACAACATCATGGTCCAGGTGGAGCTGGGCGGCCAGGACAAGAAAGCCATGAGTCGCTCGGACTGACCATGTCGGTGTTCTCCGCGCGGTGTGCGCAGCGGTGTTCTCCGGTGTCGAAGCTTCTCCGGTGTCGAGCGTTTTGAAGGGTTTTAGGGGAGGGATGGTGACTTTAAACTGCGACCCCAAAAAATACCCCAAACCCAAAGTGATTTGAAACGTTACGGTCATTTTGTCCTGACGTGACCCAGGTCAACTTGTCCCCAAGCTGATGACGCCTCCCGTACAGGGCATTGTTCGATTGAAGCCGTCCCTTGCAACGATCCCTTTCAATTAAGCAGCGCCCGATCGTTCAACTTGCCGCTTCCGGCCCAGCTGCGCTGATCTTCACGCAATATTTGATGGCGCCTGTCTTGTTGACCATCTCCCTCACCGCGACCTCCATGCTCATGCAGGCAGATGCGGAGTCAGGTCTTACATTCTGACTTAACCGCCAGAGTATGCCAAACTTGCATGAAGCTACAGAAGTATTTTGTACGTGTGGCAATATCCAATGAATGAGAACTAAGCCTCTCACACAAAAGACCTAGCTGAATGCCGGACTTCCCATTCACCTGGAGAACAAAAATCCTTTGGCCATGCAGCGGCCATTCAGCTCTGGTCGTTTCCTCGTCGTTTCCTCGCGTGGCACTGGCAGGTTCCAAGCTTCCTCGTGGATAAGGAGTCGTTCGACATGAATGAGTCTCGGAGGGGTCCGAGAAGGGTTGGGTCGTGCGCTTCCTCCTCTCACGTTTGAAGTGTGCGGATGTGATTCGGAGGGATGTTTGACAATACGAGCTCCTGCTCAACATGAAGTACC